TTTGTCTTTAGACCTGGACACCCTTCTCCTGTGCAAACCAAATTTATAGTAGGTCAGAGAAGGACCACCAAGATAAACCTACTTTCAAATTGCTAGGGGGGTCTGCAGAGAAGTAAATTGGAAAGGATCAGAGGGTGCTGGTCTGACCTTCCTCTCTCCCCCTCTGGGCTGTGTGGCACAGACGTCATGGAAGAGACGGGACTGGGTATTTGTCATCTTGTGATTCCATTCAGGATCTCAGCGCACGTTCTCCCAGACTGAGCCTTCTCTTATCCCCTCCGTGGTGCGGTCATGGGCTCCTCCTGGCTCCTCTCTCCTCCAGTCCCTACCTTCCCAATCCAATCTGTGACTAGGCTGACTGCTCAGCTCAGAATTTCTGCAGTCAGTTTACCAACATTCAGAACAACCAGTGAGGACTGGGAGCTCCAGGATCCATCAGGTAGTAGAGGGTGGAGCCAGGGGAAGTCCTTTTTCTGATGGGAGAGCAAGATGAAACCCCTAGAGTCTCAGACCCAGGGCTGAGAGGGGATGGCTGGAGAGAAGGCATCCCAGGAGCTAGGGGACTCTTTGTCTTTATGACGGTGGTGACAACTAGAATCAAACTGTGGGAAAATGGGGACGGTCACAGGAAAAACTCCTCCAAATTAACACAAATAGATCTTGCAGAAAAAAAGTGAAAAGAAAAATCGACAAGGATGGTTTGGACGGGTAAAATGAATAATTACAGTCATTTATGTGTCCTGCTCACTTTTTAGGCTTCATTAACATGCAGCACAGTCTCTGGTATGACTCGAATTAAATGCATCCGATTGGATACGTGGTAAGTTTTATCTGATTAGCAAAATGTTCACACATGTAAATTCAGGTCCTCATGGCAGATTCCTTCTGCAAGATTATTCTCGGCTTAAAACTGAAAAATAAAAAAAAATCAAAAAGGAAAGGAAAGAAAAAAAAATCAAAAAGGAAAGGAAAGAAAAAAAAATCATAGGAAACTTGCCCCTGCCCTGGCCACCAGAAAGGCTGACACAAAGAGGTTAAAAGTTAAGTGGACGTCGTACTTGAAGACGTTAAGATGGGGCTTCTATTATCAAGTTGAACAAGGCGTCTGGGGCAGCACAAACCTCCACCTTTTTTGGCCTCTACGGCGGCAACCCCAGCCTCCCTCCCTAACATCTTTTCATGGGACTACGAGGGGAAGCTCAAGTTAATCGCAGCCAAGGAGAGGGGCCGGCCTTGCCAGGACTAAAGAGGGAGGGGTGGGGAAAAAGCAAGAATCGCCCACCCTGCTCCCGGGCGGAGGGGCGGGAGCAGCGCGTCCCGCCCGGGCAGAGCAGTCTCGGGCTTGTGCATCTCTTCAGCAGCGGCGCGGGAAGGATGCTGGTCCGCAGGGGCGCGCGCGTGGGGCGCGGGATGCCGCGGGGCTGGACCGCGCTCTGCTTGCTGATTTTGCTGCGTGAGTATCGGCCGCCCGCCGTGGCTCGACCCACTGGGCAGCGGGGAGGGTCGACGCTCTCCCCGAGGCTGAGCGCGCAGAGTCCGAGTAATGCGGAGGGAAGGGACCCCTGCCCCCAACCCACGCCCCCACGCCCACGACTGCCCCTGGCTTTGGTGGGATGAGGGCCGTTTGAAGCGAGCCCAACTGGGACCAGCGCCTCACCTGGGAATCGGTGGGGGTGGGACGGAAAGGGAAGGCGACCAGCTGTGAGAGTGACCCAGCCGTGGTGTAAACCGGGCAGCGCGCCCTAGGCTTCCCAGAGTCGGACGAGGCGACGCGCTCGAGTTGTCTCTAAAGTAAAGTGCTTTCAAGATGCCAGTGTCTCTTCGCGTTGCCAAAGGTGCGGAGCGCAAAGTTGGAGCCAGACCCAGAAGAGAGGGGAGGAGAGAGGCAGGCAAGTTTTGCGGCTGATGGTTGATTCAGAAAGCCATGACCTGAACGGGTTGCTGAGAAAAGAGCGCAGGCGCCCACCGACCACCAGCACGGGGGGGCGCGGGGAGCCAGAACTGGACATTTAAGGAAGGGGAGCGAAGCCAACCTGGGACGAGGCCCCAGGTCCAACGCCCAGGAGGCCGGCTGAGTTAGGTGACCAGGGGAGTTTGGAATGAAGAACAGTCTGTGAAAAAAATCCTTGCTTTTAAGATCGGAAAGCTAAGTTATAAATCCCTCTTCAGACATCCACACCCATTCCACTGGAGAGAAGGTGGTGGTAGATGCAGTTTGTTCTGCGCCCCACCTCCCCTTCCCCACCACAACCCCTCACCCTGGCACAAACTCTAACTTGTTACATTTGGGAGTTTTCTTCCCCTGCCTCCCTCCAGGTTCTAAAACTAGTGGACAGGTCAGCAGACTAGTGGACATTCCTCACTCATCCACACATGCCTTTACTTCCTTAAGCTCTTGCTCTCACTTTGGTAAAAAAAAAAAAAGAATAGGCATTCAATAAATATTTATTCTTAATTGCTTTCATTTGGGTATAACATTCTCCATCTCATTTCATTGCACTTGAAAGGTTTTAAACATTGTAAGTTGTTCTCCCTTTTGCTGAAGATTCTGCTTCCAGCCCTTGAGGGCTCCCAAATCCCTACTCTTACTACATCCTAAAGGCCACCCATCATGGCCCCACAAAGTGACCTGGGCCAGCCAGCGTGGCCTCTTTGCTCTCAGTCCTCTGCTGTCCCCCTTTGGGCCCACCCAGTTGGAGAGAGACCCCGGGCTGGAGGAAGCTCTCAGTTAGGCTGTGGGTCGACCTGTTTGGTGGCCCCAGACATGCCCTTTGGGGCAGGGAAAAAGCTGGTGCTGAGATGTTGAAGCCCTAGTATGGAGAACTCCCCTGGGTGCACCCTCATAACAGGGAGGAGTTGATCAGTGGCTCAGATTTCGATCAGATCCTCCACTCTCCTTCAACTACACAACTCATGATGACCTGGTCCTGGGCCCAGTGAGACCCGCCCTTTTCTTATTTCCTCAGCTGGACAGTCTCAGTCTCGCCTTGGCTGCAGCAGTGGGGTGAGGGGAGCAACTTAACCTCTGCAAAACCTTGGGCAGATAGGCTGAGTATGTCAGTGTCTCAGCTTTAGGGATGAGGGGTGGAGCATGGGTCCGTATTCTCAATCTTGCCAGACTACTTGGGCCAATTTGAAGCTTTATGCCTTCCCTGAGAGCTTTCTAGGGTTGTTTTTGTTTTGTTTTTTTTTAAACATTAGGAGGCATTTTCTGTCCTGGAATGCATTGTGGGATAAAAGAAATGAGTGACTGTATCTTGAAATGCTAACAAAGGGACTTTGCAGAAATTCTGTGCTATTGTTACTGTGAAATTTAGGGCAGAAGGGGGTGCCATTGTTCTCTCATCACTTACCCCCACAAAGAGCTTTGTTCTGCGAAGGTCTTTTTTCTGTCGCTCTGAGAAGTTGGCACGGGGATGGGCACAGCAACCAACCAAAAGTAGACTCTTTTTGTTGGAGATGAGGTGGCTTTGGGTGATGACCAAAGTCAAGATGGGGGCTAAGAGGTCACCAGGTAGCACTACCACACCACACGTTGGGAAGAGAAGCCTTGCAGGTCATTAGGGAACCCCATCTGTCAGGCCCAGGGTATCTGTTTCCTCCAAGCTCTCCCTGGCCTGTCCTTCCTCTCTCCATAGCAACATCTCCCAGTCCCGCCTCTTCACATTCCTCTTCTTCCTTTGGGTCCTTGTGCCTGCTGACCCCACACCCATATCCTGTCTGGGGCTACATATAAGAGGGGAAAAAAGAAAAGGGAAAAGAATTTTATCAGATAGTTTCCAGAGGAGAGAGGACTCCACCCTTTGAATCTCTGCCACATGGCGACCGAGGAGGAGCAGCCTTGGGGACCTCTGACTAATTCAGTGGTCCCCAGTGCTCCCCCTTGTAAGGCCAACCCAGCTGGCACAACCTTTGCAAATGCAAGCCTTCAGCAGCATTCCTGTTTGACTGATAAAACACAAACAGGCCTGGGCATCTTTTCTTATCCCTTTGGCTCCGTCTCCTGGGCCTCCTGATTCACTTGTCCTCCTTCCTTCTGAGTCTTTGTCTCCAAAAGCTGAGGGCAAGAAGTGCCAAACTGCAGCAGATAAACCCCGGGCGGGCGCAGAGTCTTACAAAAACAAATAAAAAGGAGGAACAAATTCCACTTCTTAAGGTCTCACAGCCTGATTTCCTTTAGACCCTGGGCAGGAGGGTCTGGGCTTACTTTCAGGGCTGGACGGTGACCCAGCCCCACCTTCAGTGTGCCCGGCCTCCCCTTCTCATTGAATTTGCTCCATCTGATTAAATGAGCCTGAGTGTGGAGAACTGCAAATGCGAAGAACTGAAAATAGAAAACAAACTAAAACACCATCCTCCAAAGAAAGTGTTCAGAGTCGCCAGGACAGAATTTCCATATTGTTCTGGGCTTTGTCTTCTCTATTGAGAACATTCTCTTCCCTCCCCAGCTAAGAAATAAAAAAACATTATCTATGATTTTTAGTCCCAAGGGCCCCTGACTTCTCTAAGGAGGAGGAAGAATGCATCTTGGGAGAATGAGATACAAACGGATAGGGATGTCTACCAAGTTGTGCTTCCCAGGACCTACACTCCGGAACCCACCAGAGAATGAATCACTTCCCTTCTGTGTAAAGGAAAAGGCCTTTTAGCTTGATTGGGAAGTCAGCTTCTTCCTGATTTGGGGAAAAAAAACAACAAAGAACCCACAACTGGTACCTTCTAGGGGAGCGGCATCTTTAGGTAGCCAGTTCCATTGTTTAAGAAAATGCCTTAATGAGTCTTTGGGTGAGAAAACCAAGACCCACAGACAAACCTTGGCTGTGCAAGGGCAATCAGGAGGGTGAATTGCTGAAAGGATAAAATAAAGTGAAACTTTGTATTTGATGGGCCCATAAAACAAAAGGCTGAAGGACTCCAGCGGCTAGGAAGAGTATAGAGAGAGGAGGGGAGGTGTCTGGAGCAAGAGAGGAACAGTGGTGAGTGGAGGGTCGAAAAGATCTGGCTAGGAAACATTCCTCATGATAAGGCATGGATGTTTAGCATGGTAATGTCTAGAATTCAAGGTTATGCTGTTGTTTCTTCTGGGCTGTGCTGTAATCTCGCTCCGTGTTCTCAAACCTTCAGTAAACACATAGTAGCTTTGTGTTAGTGGTGCTCTGGGCGGAATAAAAGAACGGGGGCTTGGCTAGCCTAAGGTGAAGGAGTGCAGAATGACAATTGCTGCAGCCCGAGGACAGAGAGGCACAGAGCTGCAAAACAGGAGTCAGTGGCCATTAGGAAAATGGAAGAAAGAGGTGACTAGGAGAAATGTAGGCCCCCAGAGAAAGCTCGGGATAATGGAGTTCCACATAAGTGATGCTACTTGAATATTAAAGGGAAGTCTCAGTACACTGGGAACTCTCAGGCCACAGACACCTGGTTTACGCTCACACCTCAGCTTAGCCTCTGAAGCGTGGGAAGGCATCCGCCAAGTTCTTTGTTCTAGTCCAACAGGGCCCCAATTCACTGAGACCCGTAACAAGGATGCTTCCTGAATGCTCCCAGGAAAGATGAGTGGCTCACTATCTCCCAGAGTAGTTCATTCCATTAAAAAAAAAAAAAAATTATTTTAAGCTTTTCTTTGTAATGCAGTGAAATTAGCCTTCCTGGAACTTGTGATCATTAATTCTAATTCCGTTCTTTGAACTGTCACAGAATTAATCTGATCTTTTTTTTTTTTTTTTTTGGTGAGGAAGATTAGCCCTGAGCTAACATCTGTTGACAATCCTCCTCTTTTTGCTGAGGAAGACTGGCCCTGGGCTAACGTCTGTGTCCACCTTTCTCCATTTTATATGGGACGCCACCACAGCATGGCTTGACAAGCAGTGGGTCAGTGCACGCCCAGGATCCCAACCCCAGGCCACCGCAGCAGAGCGCAAGCACTTAACTGCTACGCCACCAGATTGCTACGCAATCTGATCTTTTTAACAACCTTTCTAGTCAGCTCCACTAGATTATAAACTCTTTGAGGACAGGGATTTATTTAAATTCAGATGACACTAATACCTAACAGCAGGAAGGAATCTTCTCCTATTTTGTGGTCCCCATAGCACTGAGCACGATCCTTTGCACATCACTGGTGCTTATAAAAAATAAGAATGAATAAACAAGAGAAATGAATCTTGAAGAAAGTTATTTATTCTCTCTCCTCAAATTCGTCTTTTCTGGATCAGAGGTCAGCAAACTTTTACTGCAAGGGGCCAGATAGTAAATATTTTAGGCTCTGGAGGCCGTATATGGTCCTTGATGCACGTTCTACTTTGTTTTATTTTACAAGAACACTTTAAACATGTAAAAGCCATTCTTAGCTCACTGGCCATACAACAGACAACCCATGGGTGGGATTTGGTCCACCAGCTGTAGTTGACAACCCTTAATCTAGATGAAATAACACTAGGCCCTCAACCATATGACTTGGTTTCTAGAATTCTCCTAATTCTGGTTTTCCTCCCATGGACACTCCCTAATTTAATAAATTCTCTCTTCAAATATAACATTGAATGAGGCTGTCTACCTGGAGGTGGTTGGTGTGAACACATCTGATACAGTCGCCATTTAATCCAAGTGTTTACTCTGACCTCAGGAGATCGTGCTAAGCATCCTGAGTAAAACAGACACGTGTAAGAGATGGGTCTGGCACTCGAGACGTTTATAATGTAACTGGGGAGGCAAGAGCTGTACTCAGGAAACAGCATGTGTGATTTTGTGCCAGGTAAGTGATGGAGATACGTGTCTTAAGGTCTCTGAGAAGCAGAAGGAAGGGGCCTAGACTAAAGATAACCGCTGTTTCTTGAGCGTTTACCAGACAGGCTAACTGCTTTACATTCCTTATCTCCTTTATTCCTCAAAACAACGAGGAGGTACGGACTATTTTTATCCCCACTTTAGAGATGAGGTTTAGAGAGCTGACAATGCTTCCCAAGGCCACACAGCTAGAACATGGTAGAGAAGCCTTCGAACACGGTCTGATTGCAGGGCCCAAGCTCTTGGTTTTCAGGCTCTGCTGTCTTTTCATCAATGCAGGCTGTGGACTCCAGCAGAGGCCAGTGTGTTCCTTCCTCCTAATACTGTATCTCTCTGGGCTAAGACATGCAGGAACTCCTCCAAGAAACTCCTCTTGGGCCGGGTGGTAGAATTTGAAAGGATGGGCAGAATGGTGCTAGCTGGCTAGGAGATCAGGAAACAGCACCAGCGAAAAACCTAAAACTAAGAGGGTCTGTGAAAAGCAATACCAAGTATAGGAAAACCGAGTCTCCTAAAGTACGAGAATTTAGTTATTTAGGTAGCAGAGCTTCCTGGATCTCTGAGAATAAGACTAGCAGAATCTTCAATTTACTAATTGTAGGTAGAAATCTTTTTTAAATGTATTATACATGCCTCTGCTTCCTTAGTGTACCAAAAAAGAGGACTTTAACCTTCATGACTCCGATGTATCATGAAAATAATTTGGTTACGGTGCAACTCAGTGACATTGTTAATGCTTATTAAGATGTATATATTTATTTACTCCTACCATAAATGATTCCAGACTAGTGTGGGTTTTGATACTTAAGTCTGTTTTTCATCTATTTCTGTTTCTTCATTTTTAGCTGTCATTTCTCCTTATTTTTTGCTTCTAATAGTCTGTTTCTAATTTTTAGCTTTAGCTAGGAGATCAGATAATCACACTTGTTAGAATTGTGTATAAAACAAGAATAATTGCCTCTGAATAAGTTCCTGTAAGTTAAATGCGTGAGTTTTACTACATGCATTTTGTGACATCTATTTGGCTTCTTAGAATCTTCACTTCGCTAACTTCCTGATACCTTGTCTCCTCCTCTTTTTCCAAGTTCTTGAGTTGAGATTAAGTAGAGAACCTAGGGTCAAATAGAGTACTTAGGGAGACACAGTTAATAAAGATGGAATGAGAAGTAAACAGAAAGCAGCCTTTCACTCCGTTTTAAATTACACTATAATGCTCTGTTGGGTTGTGGGTAAGGGCTGTTCCTCCAGTCTAGAGCGGAATGGAGTGGAGGTTTCATTGATCGTCTCTTAGAATCTGGCTGGTAAGCTGCTCTTACTCCCATACCTACTTGAGGATCAGAAGCTCAGATAAAGAAAGGTCAGCATTTGATGGTTTAATGCCATGGATATGTGTGTGGGAAGATAGGATGAAAAGAGATGTGTGGTCAGTCTTGATTCTTATAAATGTCATTCCTCCAAGACCCAGTCTCCTCCTGGGAGCTCTATAAAGGGAACCCTAGAGCCTGTGACACTAATACTCCCTCACTGATGGTCCCTGCACTGCAGTGCCTCGGTCAGGATTGGCACACAGGGCCCTCCCAAGGTGTCCCCTTGCTCTACCCCAGCTCATCATACCCCATTGCTCAGCCTTGCCTTTCTGCCCTCCCTCTTGGTCCTGTTTCTGCAGGGTCTCAGAGGCTTCCCTGCCCACCCTAGGTTCCGGGACATGAATCTGAGGTTGGGGTCCCGTTCTCATTTGCAGATGGACCCTGCTACCTGTTCTTCAATGCTTGGCGAAGTGGTGGGTGGGGGAGGCTGCTGCAGCCAGGAGCCCAACCTCAGTGGGTCAGCAGCTGGCCTGGGTCCAGGGTTGCTTCACTCATCTGGCACAGGCACCTGTTTCCTCAGAACTAGCAGCAGGTCTCTCTTCACATCTGGAAAAGTTCAAAACTGTTTGTCTGGGTGAAGGAGGCTCTGGGAGAGGGGGTTCAGAAACATGACATTGCCTCAGCCAGGCCCAGTTTCCTTTGGAGAGAGAAAAGGGTTGGACCAGATGGGATTCCCAGGAATTGATGTATGGGGGAAGAAGAGGAAAGGGTAGGCAGGAAGAGCTATGTCAAGAGGGAGTTCCAGTGGTACCTTGGAATGGTACCTTGAGAGGATGATCCTTCAGTTCAGTGTCCAAATGTTCCCACCATCTGCTCCCTACAATGAACTCATACTTTAGGGTCAGATTGCTGAGAAGTTCCTATTTAAGGACAGAAGAAGACTAGATCTGCTTTCCCAACTATTTCATTTTGATAAACCCACCCCCCACCTAAGCCAGAAAGGAGCGCATCCTTTTCTCTCCAGAGGTACAGAGATTGCATCCTGATCCTTAGTAGTTTAGACCCCTTGACCCTCTTGCTACTTCTACTCAAGAGTCAGTTCAACCTCAGTGGCCGCATTGCTTCTTGCCCCGCATGAACTATGGCCTTCCCTCTTGGCCAAAACCTTGGTGATTCACGCTCTCATCTTTGAAATGGAGATAGTGATGTCACTTTTTCTTCCTGCTGACTTGCCACCTAATATTAAGATATGATTGTTGTACTCACCATTAACATCAATCTACTTGCGGCAGGTTAGGTAAGGAGGCAGATGTGGGAGAGTGAGACTTGTCACCACCTTTAGGGGAAACATTCTTGGCCCCAGGTTAATTGCCTTGAAACTAAAGCCTAACTTCCCTCTTGATGCTGAGTGAAAGAAGAGGTTTCATTCTACATTGCTATTTACCTGGAAACCTCTGAAAAATACAGACCTTGATTTCGATCAGGAAAATTTAGAGACAAGCTAGGGTGGCCTGGGACCCTCAGGGGCCTTTCCTTGAGGATGGTACTGCTGGGTGTGAGCTCTGGATACCAAGTCAACCCTAACATTTATAGGGCCCAAGCCAAGAGTACAATGGAGGCCCATGTACTATATGTCTAAATACTTGCAAGTTATAAATCAGGCCAACTAACTGATAAATAAAATATCTTCTATCCTCTTACCTTGAAAATCATACCTTCATGGCCACCGGGAAGGGCAGGTTTGAATTTGGGACTCTCACAGTCTTGGAATTCAGTGCCACCATGTGGCTGAGCAGGAAGAGATGGCACTTGGTTCCCAGCCCACGAATTGGCCCACACTGTAGGGGGTCTTGCCTGCGTGTAAGGGACGCCACACACACATGCTTAAGTTCTAACCCTTCTCCCTGCAAACAGCCACCCTTTGGCCACCCTTAGGGCTTAGAGCTGCACATCCGAGTGTTGTAGCTCACCCTCAGAAGGATGGATTGGGAGAAGAGGCCCATGCAGGTCCTCAAGTGAGCCAAGAGCCATTTGGGCAATAAATTCTAGGACTCCTGGTCCCCAAAGTATGATCTAGAAGAGAAAGTGCAAGCCTGTTGGCCCCACGGACTCTTCATGGTTTGGGGAAGGGCAGGGAAGGGCAGGAGGAGGAACAGAATGTGGGCTCTGAAGTGCAGGGTCCAGACAGCAAGCTTCTCCTCCCCAGGTCTAAGGATGGCACTGCTGGGAACCCCAGGAAACATGGAAGGGCAAGGACCCTCAGAAAGATCTTCAGAGAATAACTAGATCCAGGAACATTATACTATAGCAATTTAACATTTGTTATCTCATTGATTCTCCCAACGATCCATGTAAGGTAGATAGGAAAGACCTTCACTTTAGAGATTAGTAAACTGAGGCACACACACATACATTAAACTACATAGTTATTGGCAGAGCCAGAACTATGGTCTTCATCTTCCCACTACATTTGATGAGAAAACAGGCCTTATGTTATTTAGTTCATCAGCTGGATTCCTGGGTCAGAACGTCCTAAAAGAAATCTTGGGGTTGCTTGCTGCAGTTCCTTAACCAAAGGAAAGGTGAATGGGTTTGAAGGCCATGAGGGAAAGTATGAGGGGAGTTTGGGGATAGGGAAGTCTATGAAGGATAGAAGATTTTTAAGAAGATTACATAGAGATGGGTGAATCTAGTGATTATTCCAAGAGTTAATATATTGGATGGAGAGTGACAAAAAGAGAGAAGGATATGTTAAAAAGGAAATAGAGGCGTATCCTTCCTCACATTTTAGATGTTTGCAATATTTCTTCAGGTGTAATTTTATATTTTAATCCTTTACTTAACATATTGTGAACTTTGTCTCATATTCTCATGTTGCTATAGTTTTCATAATTATTTATTTTTAATGATTATGGTACGTTAAGTGCATATAACATTTATCCTATTGTAATTCATTTAGTTGCTCGCAAATTTTCCCTCCTATAAATAATACTATACTAGATACTTGGTGCACACAAGCTTTTCCTTCTCTATTTCCTTAGGGAAAATCTACTAGTGGGAAATTAGTCACCTGTCCAGGAGGATGTTCTTGTTGCTGCTCCTTTGCCAGGGGCAGCAAGGGGATGTTCCGGATGGACTCTGCCTGAAGTCCAGAAATTGAATCAGGTGATGTCATGAGGCTCCAGACAATTTAGGTTCTGACTTCTCCTCCTTGTTTCCCTATAGCCTCTGGGTTCGCATGTGTGAACAACACTACCCTAGGAACAGTTACAGGTGTTCCTACAAATGTATCCAACAAGGAATGCACACCAACAAGTACTCTTGGAAGTACCAGCCTCCACCCTGTCTCTCAGGAGAGCAGTGGGACCACAGCAGCCATCTCAGGTAAAGAGTGTTTGTCTCAGGCCCCAGAGGGATGCTGCTGGTGCTTGGGTAAAGCGTTAGGATGTTTGCAGACCACCACCCCTCACTTCCCAACACAGATGGAAATATACAAGCCCCTTGTATTAATGACTTGGGCATCATGCTTAGGGTACCCTGAAGGAAGTCTTAGATAATTCTCCGTACAGTGACAGTTTTCTCAGGCCAATGCCATGGCAGCTGATACTGATCAGTAATGCTCCTTGTACCCTGCTCTCATGCTGAGTTCAGTTAGTGATAAAATAAGGATCAGATGAGGACTCTCGAGAGATCTCTGATCTCTTCTAAGTGAAGGAAAATGTGTACAGGTTCTAACTGAGGGGCTTTGACTTCTCTAGGGTGGACCAGCATCCAGCTCAGTCTCAGAATCCTGAGGGCACCTCTAATACATTCTAGATTATAGCTGTGGTTCCAGCAGCTGATTTGAAGTGAGTTTGGTAAGGGTTAGGACATGAAGCAACTCTTAACTCCCCAGATTTCCTTTTCAGGGTTGAAGTCCATGCTTATGTCAGTATCTATAAGGTCTTCATTCAAGACAGTGAACTGAGATGTGTGTCTGTGTTTATGCAAACATGCACACATGCACACTTGTGTTTTTATCTATTCCAGAGACTCCAGTCAACTTCACATCTACCTCTGGGCTCACTCCATTCCCTACAACCGTGAACTCTTCTGTCCAGTCACAGACCTCTTTAACCATCACAGTGTCTTCCACCACAATCAACTTTTCAACTACAGAGATGACCCTGAAGTCCCACACGTCACCTAGAACTGCTTCACCTCCTGCATACAATAGCATGAGTCCTATGACATATCCCACTAAACACTATACATCATTTTATCCTACCTCAGCTATCATCAAGGTGAGTGAACTGGGCCAAAAATAGCAGATTGCCCCCTCACTTCATATATATGCAAGCTCTCTCTTCCCCTAAACCTTTCCTCATCCCAACCAATGAGATTTGGGTCATGTAGGAATTAGCATGGGAAATATGTAGTTTAATATTGCTGGAAGGGATAGAAAGGGGGGGAGTCGGGTGGCAAGGCTGATCTGTGCCGTGGGTATTGCATTTCTAGGAAGTAGAGAGTAAAGGGGATTCTCGGAGATCCATCCAATCCTCTGTGGTTCTTTCTAGTAACTCTTGGTCTGGGCTTTGACCAGAGTACGATTCCTCTTTGGGCATATTTGGAAACCATCCTCCACTTAAAGGGGCTACTTTTCCCAAAATGTTTAAGATAAATACCATTTCCTCTCTCTGAGAGGGTTTGGCAGTTGTGCCAGGCATAGGTAGGCAATGAGGAACTGGGCAGACCAGGGATGGTGAGTTCCCTCTGCCCTTCTCAGCCTTGGGGCCTGTGGCTGTCAACAGCTTTCAGCGCGAAGAAGGCATGGAACCTGGAGGCAGGCATGGGGGCGCTGCCTGGTTTCTGTTTTTATAAGAGCCAGAATAGGATCTGGAATGTCCTAGGGGCCAGGAGGAAAATGAGTGTCACCAGGATCTTCCCGGCCACCCCATTATCTTTTTGCCTGTATGGCCTGACCGCAAGTGTGTACTTCATTGGAGGAAAAACAGCCCAAATGGGAAAAGATCCTCCTCTCTTCTGTTTCTGCACCATCCAAGCCAATCTTTTCCAAGATTGCAAACAGCTACTTGCCTACAAGCCCAGACTAGTAACAAAAGTTTCAATTATTTGACGGGGATAGAGGGTGAGATGGAGGAAGAGAGTATGATTATTATAAATCTCTAGTCCCCTAACAAATATTTAAATTTCCTTTTCTCTAAAACCTCCTAGAAGAGGGCTGGCCCCATGGCTTAGCGGTTAAGTGCGCGCACTCCGCTGCTGGCGTCCCGGGGTTCGGATCCGAGGCGCGCACGGACGCACCACTTCTCTGGCCGTGCTGGGGCTGAGTACCCCACGTACACCAACTGGAGGGATGTGCAGCTATGACATGCAGCTATCTGCTGGGGCTTTGGGGGAAAAATAAATAAAATTATAAAACCTCCTAGAAGAGTACCTCACAGAAATCAAACTGGAAAAGAGGCCTGGAAGAAATGAGGAGCAAAGATGCTGGCTTATTTACTTTGTTTTTGTTTTAATACAGAATGAAATCAAATGTTCCACAGTCAAAGACGTGAAATTGACCCAAGGTATCTGCCTGTTGCTGAACGAGACCTCCAGCTGTGTAAGTCAGACTCCCCCCACCCCACCCCCATTCCTTCCCCTCGCTCTCCTTTCACAGTCCCTGCTGAACATCCTTAAGCCATCTTGGACTGGACTGGACGTTGGTGGGGTAGGGGGAGCTTGGCATGGTCAGGGTGCTTCTAATACTGAGCTTTCGGTGTAGGGAGTAAGAGTCTCCATCTGGTGGACAAACAAGGCAAAGACAATTTTATTTAAATTTAGTTTTTACTTTTTCCCTTCTCTATAGTACATTTAATACGTATTGTCAGACTTGTTTGCTGCTATGTTAAGAAAGTCCTTTGTGAAATATAAACTAGCCCCCTAAAATATCAATTCATTTATTATTATTATTTACATATAACTCTAATCTATATAGAATTTCTATTGCTGTAATGCTGTATTTTCCATATAACCTTTTTTCCTAACATTATTTATTGAATGACCCCCTCCTTTGTTGATTGGAGTGCTTCCTTTAGCTTATTTTAAGTTTTTATGTCCCAGAGCATATTCTCCATAAATATTTTATTTGTTCAGTTGTCTTTTTTTTTTTTTTGCCTATTTTAAGTTTTTAAAAAGTATTATACTTTTACATTACAGTACTTTTAATATCCAGCCAGGCAGGTCTTAGCTCATTGCACTATTTGGAAACATCTTGTCAAGATCCAAAAAAAAAAAAAATTAAAATTTTAATTGGAACTGCTCTGAAATCCCTCCAATTTTTCTGCTCTTCTTTTGTATTGTTCAGCACCTTGTTTTTTAGTTTAAAAATTTTTTTCTATAGGTTTTATGGATTTCTTAAGGTTATTTATACAGATTTTCCATTGTATATTCCAATTGATTATTGCTGGTATATTATCAAGTTAATTGAGTTTTTAATATTTACCTTGGGTTTAGCCATTTTCTTTAACTTGGTTATTAATCCCAGGAGTTTTTTAGTTGATTCGTTCTGTTTTTAAGGTAAGCTATCATGTTATCTACCACAATATGTTGTTTTTCTCCTTTTTAGTAGTTATGCCTCTTGTTTCAGTTTCATGTCTTATCACATTGGTAAGGCTGTATAGCACAGTGTTAATTTTTTTTTTTTTTCTGAGAAAGATTCGCCCTGAGCTAACATCTGTTGCCAATCCTCCTCTTTTTTTCCCCCTCCCCAAAGCCCTAGTTGTATATTCTAGTTGTAAGTCCTTCTAGTTCTGTGTAAGCTGCCGCCACAGCATGGCTGCTGACAGACGAGTGGTGTGGTTCCATGCCTGGGAACCGAACACAGGTCACCAAAGCAGCAAGAGTGTCAAACTTTAACCACTAGACCATTAGGGCTGGCTCAGCACGGTGTTAATTTTTAATGATGATAGCAGACCTCCTTGCTTTGTTTCAGCAAATCCACTTTCCTGACAGTAACAAGGCTCCAGATGAAGGACAGGATGACAGGAAGAATGATATTTACTTATAGAAAAAAACATTTTCTTGCAACTTGGGAATCCATTTAAGGGATCCATATATGTGATGTGTGACATACATAGATTGGAAAGGGCTGGATAAAGACTGTAATCTACAGAGGGTATTAAATTACTTTGTCCATTCTGACTACCGATATCTTACCTGTGATTATCAGTTGAGTGGCTCCGACTTACAGGATCTTTTAAAATTATACCTAAGAGGATTATTTAACTTAGGACTTGTAAAAACAACAGAAATTGTGAAGACATAAGTTCACACAATGGAATACCTAAATGCAGTTTGCAAAATAGTTAACTTAAACGTGAATATACAATGTACCAGTAATACTCTGTGTTTCTGGTGCTGGATTTTCTAGATTTTCAACTGGATTCATTAAAAGAAAAAACAATTGCCAAACCCTTTGCTAATTATAGCTAAGGAAAATGACCATCTTTTTAAAATTTTTTCCCCTATCCTCTTGGTTGAGCACTTATTTTCCTGTATATCACGCAGCTCTGTGCCAGAATGCTAATTCTTTGTACCAACGATTTAGAGCTAATTACAGAGCATTCTAAGTTTCTGTCCATTGCTCTTCAAAGTTCACATTTAACTAGGGTCATCACACAAGACAAGTGCCAGAAACTTACTGCTACTCCAGAAATAACTCCTCTTACTGTGCTGTGGTCACTTTCTCTCTGTGGTCTTTACTGTGTCATCTATTTTGTGCCCCAGCTGAGACAGTCTGCATTCTCCTCTGAGGTTTGGGGAGGATCTGTGAGTAGCGATGTGGAAAGAGAGCAGCCCCCCAATATCCTAAGAAGGCTCTGCACTGCCCGCCATGAATCAGCTCTGGGGTAGCACCTGTGCAGTGCTATTGTTTCCCTGGTCTTTCCATCCGTGTTGATCCCCTTTTCTTCCTGAGGGCTCCTCTTCCCCAGCTCCCAAGCAGCAGTGCCTCTGAGGACTCCCCAAGGTAATTTTTCCCTCAGTCAGCAATCCCCGTTCCAGAAATTTTAGCCACAGCTTCTGATTGTGTCCCAGATTCCTTTTCCTTGAGTCCTACTGCATGCTTGTCTAATAATATGTTCCAAAGGCTGTGAGTGGTGTAGTGCCTGCTAATTTTCCTTAGGTTGCACTTGCACTTTTGGTGTCAGAGGGCCTTAAGGTACTGGTTCTAACTGTGGAAACTCAGGCCCTACTCACAGCCTAATGAGAAACATGAAGGATTTGGATTCCCATAACATCACATCCTTGAGTACTTATGTAACGTTAGCATGCTCCTGCATCTAGTATATTCCCATAACAGAAATATGCATGCATTGTTAGCTATCCAGACACTCTGCCTCCAGCCTCCTCATTCTGCACCACTACCTACTGAGTATCCAACATGTTAGCTCTCGCTATGTGCATTATTTAGGCCTCTCTTCTGTACCTGCATTCTGTAGACATTTATATCCCAACTCCTCCCCTTTTGCTCCCCATCCTTGACCTCTAGCCAGAAATTGCCTATATCAGCCAGGCAGAGGGAAGGCGATCCCACCCTCTTACCAAGCACCTGTTACCACATCTCAGAACACTCATTAGCAGAATGGGTCACTCCAAGTCTGACTTTCATTCTCTCTACTGCAATGTCAGGTTCACTTAGTTTTTGTGGTTGTGGTTTCCCAAATAGTTTCCAAAATGTGAGATTACTTTACTGTTTTATGCTATACCCATTTGTCCAGGGGAATCCACCAAAAAAAAATATTTTTAATGGCAGTAAAATACACATAACATAAAATTTATCACCTTAACTAGTTATGTGTGTGTGTATGTGTGAGGAAGATTAGCCCTGAGCCAACATCCGTTGCCAATCCTCCTCTTTTTGCTGAGGAAAATTGGCCCTGAGCTAACATCCATGCCCATCTTCCTCTACTTCATATGGGATGCTGCCACAGCATGGCTTGACAAGCCGTGCGTTGGTCCATGCCCGGGATCCAAACCTGTGAACCTTGGGCCGCCGAAGCGGAGCAGGCACACTTAACTGCCATGCCACTGGGTCGGCCCCTCACCTTAACTATTTTAAGTGTATAATTCAGTAGGGTTAAGTACGTTCATATTATTAGGCAACCAATCTCCAGAACTCTTTTCATCTTCCAGGACTGAAACTCTATACCCATTAAACAACTGCCCATTCCCCCCTCCTCCCAGCCCCTGGCAACCACTATTCTACTTTCTGTCTCTATGAATTTGACTACTCTAGGTACCTCATATCAGTAGAATCATACAGTGTTTTTTATCTTTTTGTTTCTGGCTTATATCGCTTAGCATAATGCCCTCCAGGTTCATCCATGTTGTAGCATGTGTCAGAACTTCCTTCCTTTTTAAGGCTGAATAATCTTCCCTTGTATGTATATACCGCATTTTGTTTATTCGTTCATACACGGATGGATGCTTGGGCTGCTTCCACCCTTTGGCTATTGTGAATAATGCTGTTATGAACATGGGAATACAAATATCTCTTCAACACTCTGATTTCATTTCTTTTGGGTATATACCCAGAAGTGGAATAGCTCGATCATATGGTAATTCTATTTTTAAGTTTTTAAGGAAGTGCCATACTGTTTTCTATAGTGGCTGCACCGTTTTGTATTCCCACCGACAGTGCACAAGTGTTCCAATTTCTCCACATCCTCACCAACACTTGTTATTTTCTGTTTTTTTTGATAGTAGCCATCCTAATGGGCATGAAGTGGTATCTCGTGGTTTTGATCGGCATTTTCTAATGATTACTGATACTGAACATCTTTTCATGTGTTTTTTGGCCGTTTGTATATCTTTTTTGGAGAAATCTCTATTCAAGTCCTTTGCCCACCAATTTATTTTTTAGAACACCTTCTTTAGAGCATGTGTTTATATGCAGAGGTTGTATTTACTCAGCTAGCTCACATCACCCTTATTCTATCACGCTGACTTCATCTGCCTCCAGCCTCCAGATCATATCCCCAGCCCACAGCTTGCTTGCCCTGGGCCCAAACACTAAATGTCGGTTTCCATGCAGAAAAAAATAACTTACAGATGGAGGACTGATGAAGACAATGTGTCTTCTGGAAAGAGCCTGAAATCTGGAGACAGCCTAACTTCTTATCCTTGGTCAGCTGCCCACTTGTTGCGTGACTTGTAGCAAGTTCTTCAATTACTCCAGTCTCTATATGAAATTAGGGGTTTTACCTGCACTGTCAAACTCCAAAGTAAATAAAATTACTGAGAGAGAGAAGTAGAGAGGTGACTGATCCTAGAATCTCAGCGTGGGAAATATCTTAAATGTCATTTGGAAAAACACCTGTCCCTCTTGCCCCCCCACTCCAGTGTTTACATGCTTCTTTAACGTGCTAAGAGTCTTTGCAAAGTTTGAGAATGCTACTCTAGAAACGCTAGTTGGTTTTGTTATTGTGGTTATTATTTTTGCAAAGTAACATGCGCAAGCAGATGTGGTTAGGGGCTCGCAAATCTGATTCTCATGAGCAAAATGGCAAGGCTGTGGCTTCCTCCTGCCCACTCTCCCATGATGTCTGCCCACAGCCTCTCTTGGGGGAGGATGTTTATTTCAAGCATCCGGAGAAGCATTGTGCTTTGTTCAGGATCCACCTGCTCCTCTCCAGGCCCAAACACAATTCACTGATGCTGTTGGATTCCAGAGTGGGAGGCTGGCTGCCGTTATTCCCTTGAATTTAGTCCAAGAAACTAAGCAAGGGGTGGAGGGACCCTGTGTGGAGGACAAACCAGTTGGGACGTTAAGTTGAACAACAGTTCACTGAGTTCTTTGTTTGGTGCTATGCTTAGTACAGTCTGGGTTCAAAATTATGTAACGTACACCTGCTCACCACACTAAGGAGTCTTACAGTCTAGTCGGAGAGAAATGACGATAACAGCAAGGCAGAATATGGTTAAACATCAAAGTGTGGATTCTAGATGACATAGTATATAAGATAGTTCAATTATCAATAGTAATAGTAATAGTAATAGCTGCCATTTATCCAGTGCCCATGAGGTTCCAAACACTCCTTGTGTTGGGCACTCCTCATACAACACCTTTTTTTTTTTTTTTGGTGAGGAAGATTGGCCCTCAGGTAACATCTGTTGCCATCTTCCTCTTTTTGCTTGAAGAAGATTGTCCCTGAGCTAACATCTATGCCAATCTTCCTCTATTTTGCATATGGGATGACGCCACAGCATGGCTTGATGAACGGTGTGTAAGTCCATGCCCAGGATCCGAACCTGCGAACCCCGGGCTGCCGAAGCGGAGCACACACTTAACTTAACCACTGCACCACCAGGCCAGCCCCCTACAACACCTCTTTAATCACCACAGCAAGTCGGTCTTCAGCTGAGGAACCTGACACTCAGACTAGTTGTAGAACATGTAAAGAATCTAGTAAATAGCAGAGCAAAGGGTGACACCCAGGCTGGTGGAAGATAGGACCAGCTTCATGGAGGTGGTGGGATTTGAATTGAGTACTGCAGGATGGGGAATCCAAGGGAGAAGGCAGTGCTCTTCATTGTCTTTGCAACCAGGGTTGTGAAGGTCGCATGCTCTCACAGGCCTGGGCTCCCTCGTGGTGGTACCTCCAGTCCAAAGGCCTTTCCCCACCAGCCTCTCCTGCACACATTCTATGCATTCTTCAAGGCCTATTTTGGGATGTTTCTGAAAACCCCAAACCAGATGTGTGCTCACCCTCCTTTGAATGTCCAGAGCACTTTAGTTGTACCTTTCTTTGGTACTTACCATGTAACTAGCTCTGTGACCTCTTAGTCTCTTTGTGCCTCATCTATAGTTTCTTCATCTATAAAATGGGAAGAATAATACTACCTATCTCATAGGGTTGTGTGAGGCCTAAATGAGTCAATAAGTGGAAAGCAGTTAGAAGAGTGCCTGAGACATAGTAAGTAAGTGTCATTTATTTTAATTTCCATGCATCCAAACTGAGAGCTTTGACCATGTAGAATTCATAGCTACCTTATACACACACACACACACACACACACACACCCCACACATGACACAGGCACAGAGGTTTTCAGACAATGTCTTATATTCAAGGCTTGATAAAGGTCAGAACACCTGAATCTGGTTGAGGTGCAGCAGGTTGAGGAGGGTGCCATTTTGTTTGGCTCTTTAGTTGTGCAGGAGCCCTGTCCCTCTGCCTCTCTCAGGAGGGAGATATATTTCAACCAGAGATACTTCAGAAGCCCAGAGTCCTGCAGGCAAGGACTGCCCTCATCCTCATCCGGAAGGCATGGTGCTAGAGAGGGTGTTGTACTCAGGGGCCTAGAGAGGAAAGAGACTGCGGAACATATCCAATGTGGTGTCCAGACTACCTACAGCAAATGCTGTTTTAAAGAGCCAGGTTTTCCAGACACAAAGTCTCTATCTAAGGACTTACTGGGAGACGTGCAGAATCGATCCTTTTCCTGAGAAGTGAAACAGCAGTGGCCCGAGAATTCATTTTGCTATGACCTTGGCTCTTGGTAGCCTTCTGAGGCCGCTGTTGGACTCATCTCTCTGTGACCTGGAGGTTAACTAGCCCTGTTTTCCTGGCCTCATCTGAGCCCAGTGAGTTTCACTCGCTTCCCTCAAATTCCAGCGGATAGAAGAAAGCTGGGGCCTGAGGCCAATCTTGACCTTGCCTTGTGCAAGAGCAAAGGAGCCTGGGTTTTCCTGTCTTAAAGCAGTAGGAAAATACCTAGGCTGCTTTCCAAGCTGGGAGGGCCCTCCGGCCTTCCCACGAGGAGCAGTGCTGCCCCACAAACAGGAAGCTGTCTCCTCCACGGAGGCTAGGTTCTGACGGCACTCACACGCCCCAGCAGTTTTCTCCTAACAAGAAAGTTGTCAGAGCTGCTCAGGCATTTCCTTCTCCACCATCTGCCATCCGGACAGAAGAGAGAGTCTTGGTTTCAGTCCCTTTCCTGTGCAGGGGAGGCCACTCTGATTGGAGGCTGCTGGAATAAATTCTGGGAGGTACGAGAACAGGATGTTGGAGGGGCACAGCCAGTGCTTCCAGTTCATCCCTTTCGTGGAACTCATCTGTTGAAGAATAATCAGAATTTATGTTCTGAGTCTGAGTTCTTGAGTCCTATGGGCCAGTCACCATCCTGGAGAGAGATCTATGAACCTCATGTAAAACTGGGTTTCCTGCTTTTAACGGAAAAGGGGGATGGAAGACTAGACAAAAACACCATTTCAGTTTGAGCCATGCTCTTTGTGAGACCCCTTGCAGAGTAAGAGGGAAGGGACTGAGGATCTCGTTGTGTATATGGTCATAGATTTGGTCTCCACTCCTCGCCTATCTGGGTTTTTTCCCCAAGGGGCTATTGTAACCTTGAAATAAAGGATTTTCTCTTCATTATTATTGCACTATTACTAATTTCTGTTATTGGCAATTTCTTTGGAATTTAATTTGAATAGTATGTGTGTACATAGGCAATCCTTAAATAAGGTGATGTTTCCTAAACTTGTTCTCTGACATTTTGTGGTGCAACTTAAGACACTAGCAGATACATGTTTGGGGACTGGGACATTTTTGAGTTTTTTCTTATTGTGTTTTTGCGCATGTATAGTTCACAGTATTTTTTTTTCCCGTTGGAATTTCAGGCAAAAAAAGGATCTGTTTTGTTTAAAGGGTAATAGCGTGACTTCAATCGGAATTATTGCCAGAGACCCCGGATGCAGTTCAGGATATACTAGTAATTTCATCTCCTGCTCACCATTTTTCTCTGTCTTCCCAGGAGGACTTTAAGAAGAAAAATGAAAAGACACTGATTCGAGTCCTGTGTGAGAAGGAACAGGCTGAGAATGGGATTGGGGCGTGTTCCTTGCTCTTTGTCCCATCTGAAGTTAAGCCTCGCTGCCAGCTGCTGGTGTTGGCCAACAGAACAGGTGAGGGGAACATCTGTCTTGGAGGCTAGGGAGGGAGTGGGGCTGAGGTTAGAGGATCCTGGGTAGAAATCAGGCCTCTTAGCTCAGAGAGTGCAGGTGCTGGGGAGAAGGGCAGGGCTGACTTTGGGAGAGGCTCTCCTAAGATGGACCACACTGGTCATCAGAGCATTATCTAGAATAATGTAGGAGGGTACAGCAGGATGAGCTGGGCCAGCTTCTAGATTCAGCAACCCCTGTTTCTAATTCTAGAACTTTCCAGCAAGCTCCAACTTCTGAAAAATCACCAGTCTGAGCTGAGAGGGGTAAGTTGTCTGAGATGATGGGTCTCAGAGGGAATACGGGGTCAGCAGAGTTCATTGGAGTGGGGGAGAAAGTAATTATCTTCTCTAGACCTTCCCTTCCTACCTCTCCATCCTTCGACAGTCTTCACCTTTCTATGCTTGAACCAAAATTTTACGGTGCAGCTTAATTAAGAGATATCAGTCTTAAATCCTGTTTAGAAAACCCCTGAGGTCAACGTCTTCTTGTGTTTGTTCACTGATGGGTCCCACACAGGGGTCTAGTGTGGGCTGGGCTCCTCTTTTAGAACCCACATTCCACAAGTAACAGGCTGTCTTTTCTGCATCTTCTCTTCAAGATGAGGATCCAAGACTTCACTGAAGAAGATCTTAGGAGCCACCAGAGCTACTCCCGCAAGACCCTGATTGCACTGGTCACCTCAGGGATCCTGCTGGCCGTCTTGGGCATCATGGGCTATTTCCTGATGAACCGCCGCAGTTGGAGCCCCACAGGAGAAAGGCTGGTTAGTTCTGGGGTCCAGGGCAAAGGAAATGAGGAAGATAGTGGTCTTCTGGGGAGGTCCATGAATGTTATGGAAGGGGAGGAGAAATACCAGAAGAGGCACTTCTGTGCCCTTACACAGGGATATGCGTGCATGCACGTATCGTATCCATGCAAGAATCGAAACAATATATAACAGATTGGGGAGGGGCCAGTAACTGGGGCCAGACCACCTGCTCACTATGGTACCAGATGGTTCAAGTCATCTATTTATTATTTTCCCTGGGATAGTTCAGCTGGCTACAACCAGAACAGGTGGTATGGCTGCTAAATCAGCCTCTTATTTGCAAGCATATTAAACGCCCATGGGTGCCACCCTGCTCACAAGAAGGGGACACGTGGAAGGAAAATCTACTCTTGAAGGTTATGGATGAGGAAGGACAAGGCTGGGGTTTGAGTCTTGGCCTCTGGCCTGTTATCTCCTCTGGTGTGGTAATTTCCCCCCCCGGGGTCTGCCTGGTTTCTTGCGGGAGCTGGCTATGGAGCTGCGATGGCATGGTGTGGTGCCTCTCCTGTCCTTTCTCCTCTAGGAGCTGGAACCCTGACTGCTCTTCAGGAAGAAAGGAGTCTGCGCATGCAGCTGCACCCCCCTCTCTCCCTCCTCCTCCCTTCCTTTCCCCACCAGTGTCGCACTCCCCTGCTTACCAGATAATGCTCCTTTATTTATACACTGTCTAGGGGGAAGACCCTTATTACACGGAGAACGGTGGAGGCCAGGGCTATAGCTCAGGCCCTGGGGCCTCCCCTGAGGCTCAGGGAAAGGCCAGTGTGAACCGAGGGGCTCAGGAGAACGGGACCGGCCAGGCCACATCCAGAAACGGCCATTCAGCGAGACAACACGTGGTGGCTGATACCGAATTGTGACTCGGCTGGGCTGGGCAAGGCTGGGCAAGGCTGGGCAATGGCCAGGGAAGGGGCCCCTCCTTGCATCTGACCATGTGCTGCCTCCATGCTGGAGGTGCTATCCCTTACCTTCTACCCTTTCCCACCACACACACCTTCCAAGGCCATTCCTGGGGCCCTATGCTGCACCAGGCTGAGGGGTTCTCCTCACCTTGGGGAGAGGCAGGTAACCCCTGCCCTTTACGCATTCAGCTCCCTGAACCCAGATTCTGGTCTTCTTTGAGTGGGGGAGTGATGGGGAGAAGCCAAGATGCAGAGAAGCTCCCAGGGGGGTTGATGATCTTGCAGCATTCAAGCATTGGCCACTTCCCTCTCTCTCCTCCTCTCCGCCTCTGTACCGGAACTGCCAGGGGAAAGCATGGGCTTTTCTGGGCTACAATTTCCTCCCAGGAGGCTTTGCCTTTTACTGCTTCTTCCTTGTATTTTCTTTTTCTACTTTAGGGAAACCAAAGCAACCCTTTATACCTGCTCCCTTGTAATGATATAGCCAGAAGAACTTGTTGTCTTAAACCACCTCCCTTACCCCTCCTCCAAGTCACTGTGGATTCCATCACCAGCTTCCCTTTTGCTTTCCAAGTTCCCGGAGCTCCGCATGCCCCTCCCTGTCCCCATCTGTGTACAGAGGCCTGCACAGTTTTCTGGCTGTTCCTGGAACTGGGCTCCAAGTTTCAGGACAACATCCTGTGTCTGTGTGTTTGGGAGACAGACTGGGGGGCGGGGGGCAGTGCATGGACACACGTGTTCCCGCTTGTGGGGGATGAGAGCAAACAGCTCAGTCCTGATCTCTCTGGGGCTACACAGCACCTCTGCTTGGGCTCTTGTTTCTCCTTGTGGGTCAGAGTGGACAAGACCATGGGACCAGATCTTTCAGGCAAGGCTCTTGACCTGTGTGCTTCTGAGGAATCCTCTTGCTCTGAGGTCAAGACCTAGCCTTATCCTCAGATCTCGATGGCTTCCACCTTCTTCCCCCGACTCCTGGGTTGAGCTATGGCCTCAGTCCCCCAGAAGACTCCTTTCTGTCTCATCCTCCCCCATCCTAACCCCCTTCACTGCTCTGCATACCCATGTGGTCAGGGCCCCAGGACATCTCCAGAGGACCCTCACCACAAGCCACCTCCTCTGTGGGTGACCCAGGTCAAGGGTTTTTGTTTTTGTTTTTTTCCAGAGGGGTGAGCAGGGATCCTGGTTTCAATGACGGTTGGAAAGAGAACTTTCCAGAGAAAGGAAGATTGGGTGGATTTTTTTCTTAATTAAAAATGGTATGTGTAAATACTGTAATTAAAGTGATACCAAAACATGTCTGTTCTGTGACTCTGTCCCAGCTGGGTGTGTTTGAATGCCAGAGCGATCTCCCCATCAAACCTGGCTGGACTGTGTAGTGATGTGGTGGGGAGGGGCTAGCCAGGGAAGAGATGGGACCATCTCTGAGACACAGGTACCAACCAGGATGCTAAGTTGGCTAAGTCTGCCAACTACTCGTCTTCTGGGAGGAAACAGAGAGACTCACAGGGAAGCTGGATGTTTCTAGGTGTGGAGAAAAAGGCAGACCAGAATGCAGCAGGGGACTTCAGGATGCAGGGTGGTGTGCTGAGGACTTAGGAGCTGTACCCTTCGTGAACACCTTTCCGAGAAGTGGCACATTTGGTCACTGGATGTAAAATATGCCAAACAAAAGGAAGGAGCCATGTCCTATGCACCCTCTGTTATCATACCACCCCCTATCTCTAGCTGGGAGCAGAAGAGTGAAGGAGGACGTGGGGAACTTCTGCTCTAGAGATCTAGCTGCCAATTCCAGGAGGAGCTGGTTTCCGCATTCAGCATTAAGACAGCAGCCTAACTGCAAAAAACATCTGTAAGTTCACTCCGCCGCCTTGCTGCTCCCAGATGCACCCCCCCCCCAATCCCCGGGCCAGAGGAAGTGGGGGAGGGAGTGCCACCGACACTACCAAGTAGCTTCAGGAAACGCTGCCAAGTGTGTCAACAGGGGCAGAGGCAGCTGGGGCCAAACAAAGGCTCCTTCCATGCTTATCTGGCCAAAGCCAGACCTTCCCTTTAGCACTCCCACCCCCTCCCTCTGCTTCTCCCCAACTGCTCTAACCAGAGCTTCCTCCGCACCCCACCCCGAGGACTCAGAGGAGGGGAAGGAATGAGAGCTAGAACTTTCCCTAGAAGGCCATGGCTGATTTGGGGGGAATGGAGAAAGGGAAGGTGATAATCGGGAAAGAGAAGTCAGGTTGGCGTCCATCTTCACACATCCTGCCATAAGAGTGACCAGATGAGGGTCTGGCCTATTAGGCGTGGCAGGGAGCGGGAGTAGAAGTGGGGTACAGACTCTGGGAAACATGGGAGGAGGAGAAAAAGCAACTGGGTCTTTGAAATGCCTCCAGCCTCAGGCCCAGCAACCTGTAACAGAATTGTCCCAGAGTTGTTGGAGTGTGTAGGCCTTGGGAGGAAGGGGTCTGTGTGTGTGTGGGTGTGTGTACGTGTGTGTGTTGGGGAGTGGCATGAGGTGGCAGCTAGTTCTCTTTGACGGCTGGACAGCTTGCCCTGAGGACTCATTGCTTTCTAGAAAATCAAACTAGCCCACCTTTGGCCTGAATATCCTGGTGCAGCAATGGCTCCACCTGCTGGCCATGCTGGGCTCCTACCGCTCAGCTTCAGTTCAATTGCCTCCATGTTAAGTTTCTCTCTGCTGCTGCCCCATCCTTAAACAGCCCAGTCTAATAGATCTCATACACAAAGCTCATATAACTATAGAGAGTCACTGATGGAGAGGACTTGAAATATATATTCAACTCAATTCCTTTATGGTATAGTAAAGACAAACTAAGGCCCAGAAAGGGGATATGGCTTGCCCAAATCACCTGGAATTCAGGTGTCCTGAATCCGAAGCTCTCCCCTTTATCATATCCCCCCATTCTTCTGCTGGGGCCTCGGGGTTCCTCCAGTTGGATGTCCTGAAGCTGGTGAGGGCAGTGTCAGGATAGGCTTGGGACTTCACCTCTGGAGCATTTCATCAATATGTACTATTCCAGGCCTGGCCAGCCAAGCGGGTCCCCGGACCTTGGGACAAAGGAGAGACTGAAAGGGAGGCTTGGCTCCCTCTGCTGTGCCCGCAGTCAGCCCTGGAGAATTAACTCTGGCCTATTACATTGTTCATTGTGGGAGCATACCTGGAAGTATCTTCTGCCAAATTTTCATCTAAACGAATTAATAGGAGTGACCTCTAAGCCTGGATGAATAGGTCATCCTCATCCCATCCCCTCCAGGTAGATCAATCCCACACTTCCTCTTCACACAAACCCAGTAGCAGGTAAACAATTTTGTGCAACAGGATGCTGCTTCTGTTCCTAAAGTTCCCATCCAAGGAGTTCACAGCCACCATTCAGTCATTCAACAAGTCTTATGGAAAACCTATTATGTACCAGACACTATTCTAGAGGCTGGGGATACAGCAGAGAACAAATCCTCTTGGAGCCTACAATTCTAGTGGAAGAGAAAGATAATAAACAAATACATTTATCTAAGTAAATATATGCATATATTTCCAGGTCGTATTCAGAGCTGTGAAAAATATAAACTAGATTGAGAGTAATGGTTGGTATTTTACAAAGGGCGGTTACTCTCAAGGAGGTAAGAGTTGAGAGCATAGGTTCACTTGAATGAAGGAAGGGAGCAATCATGCCACTCAGGGGAAAGAGCAAATGCAGAGCTCTGCGACGCAAACCTTGGCAAGTGCAAGAAGCTATAGATGAAGGAGGGCAAGAAGGCCGTGAGGCTGCATCAGAGTGAGTGAGGGGGAGAGGGAGGGCAGGCCAGATCCCATCAGGACTTTTAGGCCTCAGTAAGGAGTTTGGATATTATGAGCAGGTCAGGAAACCATTAAAGGGTTTTGAGCAGGGAAGTAATATGATCCGATGTATGTTTTAGAAGGATTGTGCTGGCTGCTGTATAGAGAATAGAGGCAGAGAGGCGAGAAAGTGGAAGGAGGGAGACCAGGTAGGTTATGGGGATAGTATTGAGAGGAATGGTCATGGCTGGGAGCAGGGTGATGATGGTGGAAGTGGTGAGATGAAGCGGAATTCAGAGGATGTTTTGAAGGTAGAGCTAACAGGTCTTGCTCCATCAGTTTATTCCTTCAAATAATGATCATAATAACAAGAATAGTAGCTAACATTTATTGAGTACTTACTATATCAAAAATGAGATGCTATACCAAAATTTAAATAGTGTATTTTATTTATTATTCACAGAAACCCTATGAAGTAGATACTATTATCTTAGAAAAAGAAACTCAAACTCACAGAGTAACAAGACTCTATGCCAGATGCTCAGTGGCAGAGACAAAGATGAGTAAGATATGGGTTGATCTGAACCCACTACAAGTGCATTACTACAAGTGCATTAAAACAAACAAACAAAAACAAATGCAAGGCAGAAAGTGAGAAAAAAAACACAAGAAAAGACTAAATGCAATGCTGTGTATCCAGAGGTGGGCAGGACTCCTTCTAGCTGGGGGGATCAGGCGTTGGGTCTTGGATGGGTGGCATCTGAGTGGGGCTCTAAGAATGGATACAATTTTAATGGCAAAAATGGTGAGGACATTTGAGGCTGATAGAAGAGCGTACACGATATGTAAAGATGGGGAAGTATCAGTTACTTTCAATAAACAATGTGTTTTCCAATATGGCAGGGAAGTAGCATATGTGAAGGGAAGCCAAGTACCCAAAAGATGTGTGTCACAGTTTGTGTAGGGCATTTAATGACGGACCACAGAGTTTAATTTTATTCAATAGAAAAGAGAGAGCCACTGAAGAATTTCCATTTATTCACTGATTTATTCATTTATTCAGTAAATATTTTTTCAGTGCTTATTATAAGCCAGGTGCTATGCCAGGCACCTGGGGTAAGACACAGTCCCTTCTGTCAAGTCTTTACATTGGTGGCCGTGGGAGGGACAAATGACAGAACAATTAGCATTGAGTGTAAGTGTTAGGATGTAGGAAGATTTGAGTGGGAGGGGCATGGAAGCCATGGAAGGCTTCCCAGAAGAGGTGACATCTGGGCTGACCCGGAGGGACAAGAAGGATTTAAAAAGGAGAAGAGGATAAAGATCCATGTTCCAGGGAAAGGAAAAAGTGTTGGCCCAGGAGCAAAGTGAGGGTGGTCATTCCACTAGTTCTGAGTGGTTCTTTTAAGGCCCAAGCAAAGAATATGATTCTTCTTAATATCTCTTATTTCTGTGCCAAGACTTTCTATTTGTTCTTTCATTTCAAGCATGTTATACTTGCTAACCAAAGCATTTTTATGATAGTTATTTTAAAATTCTTGTCAGACAATTCCAAAATCTCTGTCATCTCAGTGTTGGCATCTGCTGATTATCTTTTCTCATTCAAGTTGAGATTTTCCTAGTTCTTGGTATGACAAATGATTTTAAATTGTATCCTGGACATTTTGGGTATTATGTTATAAGACTCTGGATGTTATTTAAATCTTCTGTTTTAGCTGTCCCCCTTGGATACTGCACTGGTGGGAATGTCTCCTTGTTACCACCAGGTGGGGCTAGAAGTCCAGGATCCCCATTCAGCT